CGGGCGGCTGGGTCTGCGGGCGGGCCTCAGCAGCGTATCTGAGAGCTAATGTTTGGTTTGTCCTGACCCATCACCGTTGGCGGCGTCTCCACCGCAAAAGGAAGGGTGCGCTGGTCGAGCGAGCCCTGGTGTCCTTGGCCGTTTGCCTGAGGGGACACTGGACACTCCCCCGAGTGAGGGGGACGCGGTGTGACTGCCCCCCCCGTGTCCCGTGCACCCTCACACGCGTCCCCACAGGAGGAAGGAGGGACAGCCACACGTCTTCCCACAGTCATGTCACAGAAGCCCCACGGCCATGGCCCCCACGCAGCTCACAGGGGCCGGAGCCGGAATGGGAGCCGGGCCGTGACTCCCAGCTGCCGCAGCCACGGCGCTCTCCCCTTCCAGCACCGCTCGTGCTGCCTGTCAGTCAACTTTTCCAGGCCCGGCCACGAGGCTCGGGGTGGAGTGTTGACCTATGAACCAGGGGTCATGGTTGGATGCCCAGGTTGCAGGCTCAATCCCCAGTGTGGGGCGTGCAGGTTGGTGACACTCTCTCGTCACTGATGTTCCTATCTCTCCTCCCTCTCCCTTCCTCTCTGAAATCAATAGACATGTATTTTAAAAGCATAAAGCTCCCCGGGGCTTTGGGTGGGTGGGGGCAGGGAGAAGGCGGCGACTTCTAATGAGAGGAAGCAACTCCCTTTGCAGGTTCGCGACGCACACGTTCAGGACCTCACACCGTTTTTCTCCACGTGGACGCAGATCGCAGACTCCCCCCGGCTGAGAGCCCGGGCGGCAGGTGGAGTGGGGAGCAGGGCCAGGGGCACCTTTGGAGGCGGCTGGACTTGCCCCTGGTGGTGGGTTGTGCCAGTTCAAACACATCCCACCAGGCTTCCCAGAGGAAGCCGCGAGGTCTTGGGAGGAAGAAGAGACCTTCCACACGCGGACTGCACATGCATGCGCACATATGTACACACACTCATGCGCACACGCACACACACACACATCTGGGGGAGCGGTGCCGGTCGGCCGCCCCGTGGAGTGCCCCCGCGCAGCACAGGGCGGCGGAGTCCCTGGTCGGGGAGGAAGGAGCGAGGTGGACACCGTTTGGTGACAATACAGACAGTCGGAGGCTGCGCTAGGAACACATTGCACATCATAAAACCCGTGTTTATTTAAAAAATCTATTCAGAAAGTCTGGAAAGCGTAATAAATACGTGTGCAGGGCCGCCCACCGCAAACACAACCCGCAAGCGAACAGAGGCCTGTAAACATCACCGCGGCGAGCGAAGTGCGGGGCGGGGGCGGGCGGGTGGAGAGCAGGTCGGGTGCAGCCTCCGTGGGCGCACAGCCTTGGAGACCCCCAGTCCCCCAGCTGGGCGAGGCTGCCCGGGAGTCCCTGGCTTTGCCTCGCCGCGTGGGGTCCCGTTCCGCTCTCGGGGGCAAACACAGTGCAGTCGGCGCCATGCGGGGGCCCAGCCGCGCCTGGGGGACACACCGGCCGACTGGCCAACACTGGCCACTGTCCTGCAAAAGGGGGCAGCCTCCTGGACACGGACCCGCAAGGCTGGTCAGAGCCTCGCAGCCTCACCTGGGACGCAGGCGACTCACCCTCGCCCGTCCGACTGGGCAGCGGCGCACACCGAGGGGGGCACCAGGCTTCTCCAACCGGGGGCCCACCTGAAGGGTCCGCGAGGGGGGGCTGGAGGCCAGGTCAGGGTGTGGTTTCCTCAGGACAGAGTCCGGGTGTCTGGCCGGGGGTGCGGTCCGAGGTGTGAGCAGGGCTGTGACTTCCTGCCGTCTGTGCGAATCCTGGGGAGCCTTCCCGGGCGCCAGGTTCGGGGAGCCCCGCGCAAGCGTGTGAACTCTCAGGCCCCGTCATTCCCACCGAGGGTGCAGCCCCCGCCCCGTCACCTAAGACTTGGGGGAGCTCGGTTTCCAGTGTGGCATCGTCTCTTCTCAGGGACTCCTCGCTGGGGAGGGAGGGGCCCTCGCTCAGGGCTCTCAGCTCTGGGTCCCCGGCAGCACTCAGGCACCCCCCCCCAACCCCCACAGACACCCAGCTGAGGGCGCGGTGGGCAGCTGGGGCCCCGGCAAACAGGACGTGTGACTTGGGCGGGTTTCTAGGAGGGTGAACCCGGGACCTGCAGGTGCCCCAGGTTCCCGTTTCTGGTAATAAGTAAAGCAACTCAGACCCAAGCAGACGGGCGGCGGGCGTCACGGAGCCAGGGGAGCGCTTTCCACTGAGAAAACAGCAAGGCCAGTGGGCTCTGCGGGAACCGGCGCCTCCGTCCGCTGCCGGAGAGAAAGTGCCCTGTGGACCCCCGTTCACCTGCTGGGTCTGAGGCCACAGCCCGCACGGGAGGCGCTTTCCAGCAGCAGCCCCTGTGCGTGCACGTGCGTGTGTGCGTGCCTGTGTGTGCATGCACGTGTGCGCGTGCCTGTGTGTGCGCACGTGTCTGTGTGTGTGCACGTGCCTGTGTGCATGCACGTGTGTCTGTGTGTGCGTGTGCACGTGTGCACATGTGTGGTACTGGAGTTGAGATTGAAGGACAAAAGAAACAACAAAATATCGTCTTTTCAGGGACAACCTGGCTGTGCCCGACAGTCGATCCTGTAGCCTGGCCTGAGCAGAGGGACGGTCAGAGGGACAGACAAGTGACAATCCTCCTCTGCCCAGAGGGGGTGGCTCCCCAATTGGGCACGAGCTGGAGGAGATGAGGACACAGGTGCTGCCTCCTCTAGCCCCGGGCGGAGCCGTTAGGATTTTATTAACGAAGGGGCGCAGCCTGAGCGCCCGTGTGCACCCGGGACACACGGACTCACTGGCCGAGGACAGACCCTGCAGCAGGCACAGCACAAACAGCTCCACTTCCGCAAAGGGCATCCTGTGCGTACGCAGTCCTGGCCGTGCCCCCAACCCCAGTGGGCGACAGAGGCCCGAGGTCAGGGTCCCCAGGTCACAGTGTCTCCAGGGACAGGGGAGGGAGCAAGCCAACCAAGCCAGGCCTTCAGCCCACGGGAGGCCCAGCCCCGGGGCCGCTGCCATCCAGAGCTGGGGCGGGCTGCACGGGCACCTGCTGGCTCCTTCTGGGCACCAAGGCCAAGTGCAGGCGGTTCTGGGGGTGCCTCCCGCTCAGATCTGCTGCGAGGACACAGCTGGGACCTCATCACACACGTTGGGCCGTGAGACGAGGCCATCAAGACGTAGGTCATAGTCAGGGGCCGGGCTCTGCTCCTGTGCCCGTGCCCTCTGTCACCTTCAGCCTCCGGCATCCAAGGCCCTCGAAGCTGGCCCCTCCAGGGAGGCGCTGCCATGCCTGCTTCCTCCTACCTGACCACGGCCCTCATGTGGCAGATCCGCCCGGTGAGCAGGTGCCGGGGTGGGGAAGGCCTTCACGTGCAGTGGCGACAGGAGTCCCTGCGGCCGCCAGGGAAGCGGGTGGGAGGCGGCAGAGCAAGGAGGTGTGGGGAAGGTGCCCTCGGACCCTCTCAGGCTGAAGGGGAAACGCGGGCCCAGCGAAGGCGCCTGCGCTCGCTCAAACAGCGCCCGTGCCCAGGTCCCAGGCCGGTGCCCGCAGCCAGGCATCGGGTCCTGCTGGCTACAGCCGCGTGGACGTGAGTCTCTTCATGCCCCTGCGCTGGGCCAGGCCGGACGACAGCACGGGCTCCAGGCTC